AGCCTAAACTGAAGCGAACATTTTAATTTTCGTCTTCGTCACTTCCCACCATGCTGCGGGGGCGTTGAACTGAGGTTTATATTCTGTCACTTCTTCCCAAAACCTAGCAAAAGAAGCGCAGAAAACTTTCTTTGTAACAAAGAGATAATGAGAGTGAACTAAGTCCTGGAGTCGTGCTAGCAGAGCTTGCTGATACATCTGTTGGCTCTATCATAATTAGGTGCCAATGTACAAATAAAATCACTCCCAACCTCAATCAAGGCGGATGAGTGAACCAGACGTAAGTCAAAATCCGACGTATCTATTACAGTAAGAGCAAGCTCATCCGATTGAGGCATGTAGATATAACTTATAAAGGGGAGTTCATTCCAAAGAAAACTCAGGCGCAGGTAATACCCCTTCACAATTTCACCATAAGAGAATTGGATGGAAGAGTGCTTTCCAAAGGCTGTGAGGACGTCATATCTAATCGATGAGCTGGAGCGGGAATATGCTTCTCTTCCCAATCCATCTAGGAATATTTTACCCGAATTAAGGAGGTTTGTTTCCTGCAGAAGAAGCAGGTTAAAATGAAAATGTTGCAGAAAGGTGAAGGTTTGAAAGAACCGAGAAGTTCCAGTTCGATTTACATAACTGATCTATTTAAAAAAGAAAAATCATGGAACTTCTTGTGGTTTCTTCCTCAACCCTTTCAGGCAGCTCACAAGTTTCTAGTAGGTCCATGATTCACGCAAGGCTTGAATCATAGAGCAAAGCCTAGGAATGTTGTCTGTGACTTCGCGCAACTAAGGGTGAATTTTTGAAAAGAGCACTATCCAATAATGCAGTTTTATTTCAGAGAAAATGCATTATAAATAAGGTAAATAAATTGCATTATCGAATTGTGCTCTGTTCAAAAATCCACCCTTCGTCTGGTTTTCGAGAATATCTCACCTCAAGAAAAGGGAAAAGAAAATTCATCAATACCGAGAGGAGTGGACGAAGGATTTAACTTGGTTATCTGCTCATGTGTGAGAACAAAAGCTGAGAGGGACTGCGAATGCAATTGAGAGTCGTCGTCATTAGAATCAGAGAGCTATCCCTGACCGTAATAGAGAGAGATTGTATGGGCGTCAGGGACGATAATAGTTTCCGAACTGAAATTGAAGGAGTCAGTGAGAGCCATTCGACTGTCAGCAGCCGAAGGCTCCACCTGTAGATGGACCAGCAAGATCCGAAGGACTCATCAGATTCAGGAGCACATGGAATTTCAATCGCATCCATACTGGAGTAGCCATGAACTCTGTAATCAGGTTGTAGGCCTAGGAAAACTATTTCGATGTCATGCATAATTTGCATACATTATGCTAATAGGTGTCAATGTGGCCGCCATGAGTGAAAAAAATTAGCGACATTTCAAACACGATATATTATAAATCCTTTAATACAAATTGATGAAATTCACACACATAACAGAAGACACCATAAAGCTTGGAATGACGGAACGACTTTTTCGAATTACTTCAGAAGAAAAATATTCGACCAAATGAATTTTTTTTTCACCATTTTGACCTGCTTCTTATGTATTAATATTCTAATTATTCAAATCGTGTCCACAATATCAATAAATGTTTTCATCACTCCACGACCATTGATTCGAGGAAATTTATTGCAAAAAACCATACGGATATCTCTACTAGGTCCTGAGATATCGTGCTCAAGAGACCAGGGGCCTGTTCCTCGCATGTGCTAAACTTAAATCTAAATCTAAATCTAAAAGCAGTCTAAAAACAAAAAGTCTATTGTTCGCCCTGACCATTTAGACTAAGATTTAGATTTAGATTTAAGTTTAGCACAGGCGAGGAACTTGTACTTATGGTGAAAATGGGTTTTCGGGAAATCAATGAGAGAAGTGAATTAGCGCCCTGTGAGCCATCCGCATAGGTCATCGAAAACTACCAAACCTACTGATTGCATGGAATGAGGCACCTAAGGGTGGAATCCAAAGTGAACTATAGACTTCTACAAAAATTATGGCATTGGAATTTTCATTTAAAATCTTTTCTAACATATGGTATCCAAGGATCAAAGTCGGTACTAAGGATATGTAGATCAGACAATACTACACTAATTAGTTAAAATTACTCCTAATTAATTAAGTTTCATTATTTTTTCCAATGGGAAAGCAATCTTGAGTGTATGAAGTATAGTTTGAGCCAATTTTTGCGAAAACGATATTTTCTCGATATTTTTTTCATTCAACCTTAAGTTCCTTCGGGGAGGGGGGGGGGGGGGGGGGGGGGGCGCGGGGGGGGGGGGAGTTGGGGGGGGGGGGGGGGGGGGGGGGGGGGGGGGGACCCTGGAAGAGTGGGGCCCAGGGCAACAGCCTCCTTTGTCCCCCCCCCCATCCGGCCCTGTATATGGAACATCATTTGAGACAGCGTCGGAATGTTCCTCAGAGGAAGATTTCTCGACAGAACGAAATAGGACCACATTCTTCCTTGGGAGATGTTCATTAGCAGACAGAAATATAGCACAGACATACCGACTCAAGGCCACTCGAAACGTACAACGGACCGCACGAACGAGCGCACGGGAGTTCAAGGTCGTCTGGATTCATGCAGCCAGGTTGTGAGAGGGGGGGGGGGGGGAACGTAGAGACAAGAAAAAAGAACGACAAAAATATCCTATAAAATCAAGAAAAAAATACAACAAACTTAACCTATACCAAACGAAAAGTACAAAGAAGAAAATCCATACGAAAAACAAGGCCAATCCACCATGAAGAAACAGAAGAAAAAACCTTCAAAGCCGGAGAGACAGACTGCCATACATCGTGAAGGCGGCCATGTTGTCATTACTGGTCACCCGTCATGGTTGGCTCAACTTTATTTTGTAAAGTGCTGACACCTAGTCCATCTAGCTCCGATGGCGAATCCTAGCAAGGAAAACCCTAGTTTTCGATTTTCCGTACGAATTCCAGAATGCGATACCTAGGTGTGATGCATTTCTTCATTTCTAAAAGAGATGGAACCATGCACATCTAGCTCCGACGTGGAATCTCGGCATAAAAAGGCTTCTTTCTCGGCGATCAAAACGAATTTCAGAAAGCATCATCCTCCACAGATCAGAATGGTCGAAATATCCATTTCTATCTTCGCCTTGAGCGACGCCTTGCCCCAAACAAATGTGATCGCAAGAAAGGATGTAATAAAGAGATGTCCGCAAGTATATAAAATCCAGTATTGAGATTTCTTCATTTCAGTAGGGGGTGCCTATGGAGAGGGGCAAGGCAGTGTCATCCCCTGGTTCTCTTTGGACGAACCGCTAGCGCAAAATATCACGAGCCGTCACTGCTTAATTTGGAGTTTCTATTAGATAGGACGTGGAAACGTTGGGGTTCCCGTAGTGATACATTAGCTTCGAGAAAGGCTAGTTTCGGGTTCTTCAAGTTTTTATTTTTTTTTCAGCTTTGCTTGTCCTTTCCTTGGATTGTCTGCTCGCAATTGAGTCTTCCGCAAATTTCATTGTTAGCTTGCTATCGGAATTCGGGGGTGGGGGGATGATGACGGTGCCTTTTTCGCTTTACCCCAAAGTCGGGTGACATTTGAAAAATATTTTCTTATTCAATGCTCAGGAACAAAATAATTTTTTTAATGCTTCATTTGTATGATATTATTTCTCATATGTAAGGAGTGCACACATGGAAAAATCATGTACTGCTTTTATTTAGCCAAATAAAAAGGCAGTTCATTCGAGTCAATTTCACGAACCTATAAATTTGCAAGAAACAACACGAACGTATAAGAACCCTTTAACAATAAATGGCGATGGCAGCTTATTTTCTGCATGACCCACTGTCATTTTCAATGCAGGTACTCAAGCAGATCAGGTAATTTTCAATACTCCTTCCAAGGATCTCCAAATTAACTGTCTGTACTTCGTCGTTTCTCGTTTTGAGCCCATGTCCCTGAAAAAATACAGTCCCAAAAAAATATCGGAAAAATTTTTCACTTTTTAGCTTCTCGAAATTGGTTCAGGCTATCGCTGTGCGCTTTTGAGGGCTAAGACATCAAATGAGCACATGCACGCAAAGTTGTATCAAAATCCATTGATTAATTTCGGTAATGCTTATTCCAAGTAGGGTTGCGGCGGACCATTGCCGCCGGCCGCACTCGACTAGAGCACAGCCAGTCAGAGAGGGAACTCACCATTCCCCCGTTGCAGGAGGATGCGAACCGTGCAGCGTCTGGGTTTCGATCAATGTCACGTGCCTGTTCACTGAATGACACAGCAGGCACTTCGAGCACCTCATTCGAGTGTCAAACAGGAAAAATTAAAGCAGTTATCTCGGTCGTGCGCATCGTGTCAGCCATCCTGTATGAAGCACAATACTGAATTTGGACTAATGCACCCGTACAGTTTTGGCGGCATTCCCTTACTGCTGGCACGCTCTGAATCACCTCCTGTATTTCAAGAACCAACGTATGGATATTGTTATAACTTTGCATGCACGTACTCATTTGATGCATTAGTCCGCCCACAAGGGGGTCGCACAGCGACCAATTACAAGTGGCTAAAAAGTGTAAAAGGTTCTGCAATTTTTTGGGACAGTGTGTTAATGAAGCGTACTTATGCTATTAGTTTTCGCTTCTTGCTAAATTTTTAGTCAATCAAATTGATTCTCTCCAATAAAGATATTTTGCTAAATGAAATCACTTTGTATTTCAAAGCATCCTGCATGTGTTATTGTTCAAATAAATGTAATTTTAAAAAATTCCAATATTTTCCATCAAGCTCAAACCTGACACGTGGGAAAACTTGTATTTCATTGTGCTCCTCCATCAGAGATAGTATTTTTTTAAATTTACTTCATATTACATTGATTTGTTCTACCAGCAATTTGGTCAAGTTCACAAACATTTTTATTTGATAAAACTCTGACTAATAAATGCAACATAAACTTCACTGGATTCTTGGAAACACTGACAGAAGCTTCATGCTCACACATAGATTGATGAACAAAAGGAGCTTCATTTCCATTTCAAAGATAGGAAGCTTACTAATTACCGGCCTTGAGCCATTATGTGGATTTTACATCTGCAATGTGCTCATTCAGGAAGCACTGATTAGATTAAATTAGATTTCAAAGATTTCACCTCTTGAGGCTTCATCTTATGGTCAAATTCAGGGTCTTAATGAAGATTTTCATGGGTGGCATTTATTTATTATAAACTGCATCAAGCATAAGATTTATGGAAGCTGTGAATATCAGATGATGATACAATATATATGGCATATATTTACAAACATTCATAAAATAAAAAACTAGTCAAATTTTGGACTGGAATGGGGAAAAATCCTGTGATCCCACCATTGTAGAACATCACAAAAGAAATGCCTCAGATATGACTGTTTTGGCACAGGTCATCAGGAAAATCACATCATTATGAAACTAAAGCAAGGTGCTTGTCAATCTCATTTAACAAGCAGCAATAAAACCCTCTGAGTATATCTGCAAAACTTGCTTTTCTTTTTACTGTGAGAAGTCTAGAATTCATGACTCCTACCCAGCTCTGGCACATAAAAAAAGGGGGAAATGCTGTATATAAACTGCAACACTTTTTCCAAGTAATGCATGTAATGGTAGTCCTATTTCATTACAGTTTCAAGTGGAGTGAATATACTTAGTAGCAGTATCCACATGTCTAAAGAACATACTGGTGACTGCATTATTATGTATGGATGAAATATAAACTTGTGTTATGACATTGCTTAAAAGTTAGGGAACTCCCAGCACTGAGGGCTTTTGAAGAAATTGGTACGTGCCTTCAAGTGGAATGACAACTATCACATGCTTAGTGTTGGTGGTCCTCAAATCCAAAGGGAAAGACCATTCAATGACAGTAGGAAGAATTTATGGAAGAGCAGAGGATTCTGTATGGTATTATAATGTGTGGCTGAGAATGTAACAGCAGCACTATACTAAAGCAATGATTAACCCTTTCATCATGGAGTTTTAAATAGCATGGTAGCCCCCCTGGTGTTGTTTTTTTTTTAACATTCCTGGTGTAAAGCAACTATAACTATTATGGCATAATCCTGAATAAAACTGCAAATACCATTGCTTTCCTTTTGCAACTATCACATTTCATGAAACTCTATCTATCAACTAATGCATGTAAGAAATGCTGGAGATGATGTGTCATACAAAACAATATGGAGTACCCAGGGCATCATCAAATCACCCCTTTCATGAGCAGTTCATCATGCAGGATAGTTGAAAGACACAAAAGGAATAATGTTCCCAGGAAGCACTCAACTATTAAGTGACTGCAAAATCAGTCTGGACGGTAACCATTTCTTGATCACACCTTGGGAAGCAATGATTCAAAGAGCTTTCGAGGACATCTGAACTGGAGCTTTGTTCTTCTTTCCAAGAAGCTTCATCAAATTCTTGGGCATGGCATATGGCTTTTCTTCACTACCATCATTCTTTTCACAGTCTTCCACTGTCATAAGAAACAAAGGAATGAAATACAAGATATGCAGGGGATTTTCAGAGTAAGTAGAACCTATCAGCTTACAAAAGCAGATGAAGAGGGTATCAATGGCCATTTCATAAACAGAGAAGAAGCAGGAAGCAATGAAGAATGTCCCAATGACAATGGTGAAAACAGGTGTCAAGTAGTAGTTGGTTTCTGGTATGTAATCCTCCATAAAAGATATCCTCTTGTCAAAAACAAAGAAAGACAGAATTCCAACTATCCCCACCACAGTTAGCTTCCCCAGGAACAGCAGGAAGTCTGTTGTCTGAATAAGAGAGAGAGTGTCACTCATACTTATCACGATCACATCAAGAATCATGACAGTGTAAAGGATAAACTTATGACACATTTTATTTGGAGTGTACCATCTCCAATGACTACCATTGTTAGGTAAAAATGGAGCATGCAGAAAGTAAGCATGCTCCTGAATATAACTATTAATAAGATAAGAGAGCATTCATTCAAAGTTAGAAACCAGCCTGAAGGCCACATTCACTTAAGAGAATGTGGTCCTTCCAAAACTTTTTTTATGCCTGATTGTTACATGGTGATTGGTTAGAGTAGCAGAGGAAATAGAGGAAACATCTTGTTTGTGAGCTGTTGTAGAGAATGACAGTGGTAGCATACAGAAATAATATTACATGGGCTTGTAGAAAATTATACAGAGAATTTATGGTTTAAAGATCAAGACTGAAGGGCTTGAAATGACAGAGATATTCAATGAATACCGAGAGTGCCATTATTTCTGAGACACCCATTGTAAGTGACATGACGGTGATATTCAAAGTCATGAGGACAAGGAAGTCAACAATCCATTCTGTAAAGGAGCAGTATTCCTAGGCATGGACCCAAGATGAACAAGCAATAGGAGAGACAATGAATCCACATTTGCACCCCTGCACCCCATCATGCAACATGTATCAATGTGCAATGTGAAAAAGCATTGCACATGTGCCAAGAGTTGCACCCAATGGAATTCACTGATAGGGGAAAATGAGGTCCTGAAATTGCACATACCTTATCTATGACGGCGAATCGCACCACATTTCGCATTACAAGAGAGAAGGTCTTGCGAATGGCTGTGCAGAAACTGTAGCCATTGATGGCCACTAGCACATAGGCATTGCGATTCATGAATTTCAGGAACTTTTCAAGGCAGTAAAAGCAGCATTTGCAACAGCATAAGATTGCCTTTGCAACTGCATTCTGCTGATACTTCTGGAGTTGGTAATCCAGGTATTCCAAGGCCAGACGTATGAACTTCAGCAATGCTATCAGCAGTGATCCTAGTGCCAGTGTTCCGATATGATACCTGAGAGAGGAAGTCAAGGACACATAATGGAATAGGTTCAAAAAAGGGAACATTGGGCTCAGTTTTAAAAATCTCTTACATTCACTGTACCAGATGGGAGCCTCTAGAGAAAGAAATCAAGCCCATTTAAAAATGTTTTGACCCTGAAAGAATCTTAGGGAAATCTTTGTTGCTGGCTTGCAAATTTGCACTTCATCTCAATCTTCTAAGTTGCAGGATCTTGGTACCAATTTTGAATAGTGACATTTGTGACTCTGTATACCAGACAGGCGTACTTGGTTAGAGTACTTTAAATATGTCAGAGCTAGGAGAATAATTTATGAAGCATTGAGGATTGAACTAACATTTGTAAAAATCTTTAATTTCACATTTTCAAATAGGACAATATTATCTATGTTAATTCATGTCACCCATCATATTCAACACGGAGAACGATGGGTTAATAAAAGTCAATCTTCACAGTATATTTGTAGCAACTGCAGCTTCATGCATGAACTCATGGCATTTTTGAGGAAGGTCTCCATGATGGAGCTTCTCTTCAATCCCACAACACAAACAATATTTTCCTAAAGGCTTTAGTTTTGAATATAGCTGCCTGGGGTAAGTGGGACCTCTGGGGCAAGTGGGAGCCCCCTTATATTTTCAGCAGATAATAAAGATAGGGGAAAGTTGTTTGTTTTTTGCATAGTAATCATGTAGTGAGCTGTCTTGCACAAAATATTTAAACCCCCATCCCCAAGCATTTTTTAAATGCCAGGGTGCCAGGGATGAAAGCCAAATCATGGCAAACAGTCCTGAAATAAGGGAACAGGGCTCTTATTTTGACTAAGACTTAGAGGAACTTCAAAGTTAAGTTTTCTTGAAAAATCAGTGTTCAGCAGGAAGCTCATAGACTATATTACCAAGCCTATTGGGTGAGTTGTGTGCTTTTTCTGCTAATACTTGATTCATGAGGGGGGACCAATTTTCCCCAACAAAATTCACCATATGGGGCATGTGGGCAAATCCCCCCCCCCCTTCTCCCTATTAAAAAATCCTTAAATAAGAAGCCCCCTGTTATGCCGAGCAACCCATTGCATTGGCTGATGTCCCAATTATTAAACATAAGACTCAACATTACATATATATATACCTGTATATATATATATATATATGTTATATATATATATGTTTTATATATATATATATAGATGTTATATATATATATATATATATAATGTTGAGTCTTATGTTTAATAATCGGGACATCAGCCAATGCAATGGGTTGCTCGGCATAACAGGGGGCTTCTTATTTAAGGATTTTTTAATAGTAGTGGGGTACATTCCCCCATTGCCTAGATTGGTTTGGGTGGGACAGGCACCATTGGTTTTTCCTTTTCACTATAGATATATATATAGGGTGTTTCAAAAAAGACCCTCTACTTATTTTCAATGAGGGATAGATAACACTCATTCCCATAGGGAAAAAAATCAGACCAGGCTCTATTTTCTGATTCCTGCCTATTTTCTTAAAGGTAGAACATCTTGAGAATGAAGCAGAGAAGGCTTAATCTGACAAGCAGTTTACTTTTGTTGCTTTACCAGTAGCTTTCAGAGAAAAACAAAGATTTTTATCAAGCACTCAAGACAGATGGTTATGCTTTAGTCACCCAAAAATTCAACTGCATCACTTCTGTAGAAGTAATTATGAGGGGGTCCAACATGCCCCAAGTATTGGGGCAAGTTGGAACTCCTGACCTGATTTTGAGATATAGTAATATACATGTATCTGAGACTGTAAACTTTAAAATGTTGATATGTATCAGAAACATTGAAGTGGATGGCAATTTTACCTGTCCAATGTGATGACTGTTCATTCATAGTTGAGGCTCCAGCATCAAGTGAAAGTTGTACTATTGTAAAAAAAAGAAAAAAAAAAAAGGGTCTCACTTCCCCAGGCAGCTATACATTTCATTCTTTCTGAAACACTGTACCCTACTCTTTGTTGTATAGGACCAAAAAAAAACCTCTATTGGAATCCATACTTTCCAAACATTACCTAGTGATGTATACCAGAATGTTTATCCAAGCTTGCACTACTTGATGGATCTGATGAACCAGGCAGCAATAACTCACCTGATGCTGCACCAGATTCCATAGGACAGGGGATAATGCAGACTGCTCTTCTTCCGAGACCAATACCACTGCACAAAGGTGATTGCTAATACCAGCTCTCCCCATGCTGACAAGAAGCATATTGCCCACAGGAAAGCAAATATATTCATGATGTGGATATTGAAAAGCTCCTGTCTGCCAGTGTAGCCAAAAAATATGCAGGTAGGATTTCCCTCTTCGCAGGAACAGTTAAAACTGTCTGGATTACATAAGTCCCCTTCCTGAAAAATACATCACACAAGGGAATATAAAATAAATATACATATCAGAACATAGTGGGGGTCTTCTTCTGTATAAGCCAAATGAAAGCAAAAGGTTCAATTATGATTGGATAAACTCACTTTGCATCCTGAAGATGGAGATAAACAATTCTTAATATCTGAAACTCTGTACTCAGGACTTGCCAAGGATGATATTGACATGGAGGCAACCAAGAAAAATCCAATTGCCACCATTTGCAGAAGAAATGGCATGACTGGGAAGGTTAGAGATGACATTGTGTCCCTAACAGCCCTGCAAACAATGACAAAAACATATAGTTCATGAGGAAAATGAGGTCCATCTTATAATTAGTGAACTTTCCCAAATACATGATGCCCATAAAGTACCTATAGGCGAATTTTTTAGTATTAACACAGAGGTAGCCGCTTCTTGAATGTTTGTAGACAGACAACATAATGACCTTGGAATAGTGTCAGATCTGTCCTCCTTCCACCTTGTAATGGTTAACTCTTTGAGGTCGACACCCGAGTTATCTCATGTTGGCCTCATGATGAGGGGATGGAAAAACTTGGATGACAGAGCTGACTTACCCAAAATACTTGGACCCCAAAGGGTTAAGAATTAATTTCTCAAATCTGATGTTTCAGGATTTTATTATTCATTTGCCAGGAGGGAAAAAAAATTGAGACTAAAAGTCAACTTTTTTTGTCATTTGACCTTATTGCACCAGCTTCTGGTAACCATCATGGTACAGGTTGAATAATGGAGTATCTTGGAATAGTCCACGCTTGATATAATGTACTTGAAGGGACAGGCAAACAAATTTGTTATAAGGAAAATTCATTATCAAAATTTGTTATACTGATCATCAACTGTAATTAAAAATCATAACAATTAATAATTTATTCAACAAATGTTTGAATGGATCAACTGCCAATTTCCAAACATTTCTGAGCCAAATGCATTGTTGGAAAATCTGATAATTCCATCACCCATCTGGCACATAGCACAAGAGATATTCTTCATCAAGTTGTTCTGATGTGTTGGCTTGTCCTTGTAAAAATGCTTTTCTCTCACTCATTTTGGAATGCAGTATTCCATGTTTCTGAAGCTGTAATTGAATCAAGGGTCTGGCAAATGCATTCCCAGTCACACTGGAGCAGAGGAGCAAAAGATGTGATACTATTCTGCGGTCTATTGATAAACAGGGTACAAAAAATTGATAAAAGGGGGTTCCTCAAATTCAATATGAAAAAGTTGCCCATAGGTAGTCACTTTATGGACATCCTGTGCTTGATGTTAAAACTTTCTAACCTGCTTCCTTCCTCAATGAGAGCGATTGCTAAACGAATTCTAGACCTTAGAAAGATCAGCACAAGCAACAGAATCAAGAGAAGGATCATGAGGATGACAGCAAAGCCAAGCCATGTTTGCTGTAGCTGGAAGTAGACATCCAAGTGCAATGTGAAGCCAATTTCTGCAATGGTCTTATTGGCCTCTGGAGAATCTTTCAGACTTGTGTACCGCCACAGGGAGTGATATATACCTACAATCATAGAAAGTAAATGGTTTTTGCTCAACATGAAAGAAGTAGTTCAAATATTAATAACTGATTCATGTCTATTGCACACAATAGTTGAGGCAGGCCGATGATAAGGGACTGCACACATCTCTTTCACCATTTCAGCTGGTCTTCAATTTCCTTCTTCACTTATGCCTCATCCACATTATGAAACACATATTTGACAGCCTGATTGACTTCCCCTACTGGTGGAAGTGGTCACATACACTTACTTTATGTTCTATTTATGAAGCTCAACTTTTGCTTTTCTCTTGGAGAAAGCTCTCTCCTATCAAGGATAACTTTCTTCTATAGGGTAGTATCACTAAAGTTTTTAGAGAAAAGTTTTGTCAGAAAAGGAATGACAATTTCACACTGTGAAGTTTATACCTTATGCATTTTAAAACTTACAAGTCTTTATGTACCTTTTTAGATAAAGAGTTGGATTGACACAAGTATCTTATACCCTCTGAGGTGAAATGATTAATATTCCCATATTGGTATCCTATAAATATTTTTTGCTGCTAGTTACTGAATGTCTGCAGGCACATAAACAGGCTCAAACTCTATTAAATCTCAGAAGAGGATATTTCTGCCACATTAAGTCAGAGGTCAACATTTACTTTGCCCATCTAAAATTTGTAATTACAAAAAGGCAGGTAAAGAACTTAAAATCAAGCATCTTATAATGCAATATAAATCAAGTGTCAAGCTTCAGTATGAGGGAACTCGTGAGTAAAGTGTAGTGAAAGTGTGACTTAAGGTGACAAAATATGCATGCAATATACAGGGTGTTTATATTTAAACACAACATAGGGACATTTTTGCCACCTATTTGTGGAGTTCAGGGTGTGCCTTACAGTTCACCGGGTTGCATACATGTAAGGATGAAACCTATCCCTAGCTTGTTTCCTTGCAGATATGCAACCCAGTGGACCTTACAGCATTCGTCGAACTCCACCTACAGGTGGAAAAATATTCCCTATGTTGCGTTTAAATGCGAACACCCTGTATATGTTTCCACATCTTAACACTTATAGGATGGATCATGGAGATTTCTGTGTTTTCATGTATTGGGTTTGCAAACATCCGGTTGTCAATGTGTTAAGAAGTGGGTTACCAAGGAACATTTTTTAAATGTATGTCCTCGTTGACTTAAATCACAGTGCCAAGTTCAATCAAAATTGGGAAAGGTCATGTTAAAAATCCTTCAGATTTGATGTGAAATGATCTCTTTATTAATTCTATTTTTATTTTCTCAATGTAAACACTTTTTAATGACTGTATCCTAATGCATTATTTTTCAGGCAGAAGGACTGAACTGGACTGGAATCTGGTTTGCCTTACCATAGCCAAGTACAACTGGCATTGCCAACAATGATACCCATATTACAGGTGCAGCCAGGCAATACATGAGGACAATGAAGAAGAAGGAGATGATTGCGCCTGCAAGAAGACCCACAAGGATATGGGGCCAAGCTCTCCTGTAGTCTTGAAAGATTCTTTGGCCAACCTGAAACATGAACAAACTTTTTTGCAGGCTGAAAATGTTACTGTGCAACTTGACCTCCTTCTTTTCCAGATGTGGAACATTTACCTTTATTTATCAAACATGTTATCCATACTTGATAAATATATTTTTGACAAGTGCATTTTCCCTTTTCCTCCCTTTCTTTCCCCTTTTTCCTTTCATGCAACTGCCCCTGACTTATGACTTAAGTGAGGAAGTATACCAGCATTGGCAATCAATATTCATGTAATTTATTTTAAGAAAAAAAAAACAGAATCTTTTTCATTATTCCAACACAGCATGTTTTTACAATATAGACAAGCTATATTTTTTTCATACCCATAGGTTCATTAACAATGGTGAAAAATATTTTTTATATTACTAAAAGTTAATATTGAAAATTTAACATTTTTTTGCTGAAATGTCTCCCACACCATAAGCAATTGCAACTCTTGGAATTTGTTCAACTGGACAGTAGTGTTTGAATCAGTCTTTGTCCACATTGATTCCACATGGGGATGTCAGACAGAAGACACTGAGGATGAGGCTATGGGAGCATGTACATATTCCAATGCCTGATGTTCAGTTAATACAGATATATGAAAACCAGATGTTCAGTCAAAAAGTCTCAAAAAGTCATCATTGAAGGGCAAAAAATTCCTCTTTAAAAACCATACTTGATGGAACCATATTAAAATTATTATTTTTTAAATGGCTTAACTACATGTATTTAGTTTATAATTATCTTACAATACTTACAAATACCATGATCAACCTGATGAACCCAGAAAGTTCTCCGTCTTTATCACCCCAATATAAAAAGACCAAGCCCATGTCTTATTTGACCCTTCTTGTCCATTTCAGGGCTAGGAAAAATTGACTGGTTAAATTAGAACAAAGCATTTCCTGCTATTCATAACCCCTCCCATCTGCATGCAAAGGGAAAGTGATGGGGTGCCAAAGACAGAAAAAGTAGTGATATTGCTGTGGAGCAAAGTACACCCAAAATAAATTGGCAAGGAGTGGGTATCTTTGGCCACTGGCATACATTGCATCTAAGGCTAATAAATATATTTCATGTATACTGCTATTTAACTCATCTCATTTTAGATCACAAAGCAACATTGAGATCTTTGGAATGAAACACTTTTTCCTTCAGAAGAATTAACGAGAACAATGCATTTTCCCCTGCATTTAGCATGATCTCCAATATTCATTCTTGAAGCTAACTTAGATGAGTCCCCTTTTTACTTTTTGCTTTGACTTTGCTCCTGGACATCTGAAAATATTCATGAGTAAAATGAGAAGTAACTTTTCTCAGAACCAACCATTTTTTTATGAGATAGAAAAAAACAACTTTCCAAGAGATTGTCAAAAGTGTCCTGCATGGTCAAAGCAATCCCATTTTATGGTAAGTAACTATGTGAGGAAATAGACAAAATTCTCTTTTAGAGTCTCTCTTCAATGGCCCTTTTTTTTTCTTACCATGCAGTCACTTATGAACAGGAGCTCAAATTGATTTCAAATCAGCTCTACCTATCACAAGGCAAGTACAAAATGTTTATCTACCTCCTGAATATTGGAAAGAAGAGATGCAGAATGTAGTCCATCAATGAGATCTCCAACAGTGATGGCACCATTTTCACCCAAGATGGGGTTCCCATCAGGGCCCTTAAGAATCTCGTTATTGTCAGAGAAAGGAAGTGCAGGAAGGCATCGATAGGCCACTGCATGAAGATAGTCAAGTGAAAAGCCCAACCATGCAGAAGGATTAGTTGCCTAATATCCTACAAGGACATCAATAAGCAAAGCAAATGCATCTCATGGAAATCATGACAGGTCATTTGTACACAAGCTTTAGGTAAAAGCTAGAGTTTAGTTGGTGGCCTCTCTTACCTGTCACCAAAAGAGTAACTCAATCAAAATCATTTCAATTCTCAGCAGCCTCATGATATGCCCTAACCATGCTATACACAATCACATTGTCAGAGATCTTCACAAGTACTTCTTTCATATTTTGAAAGACGTTTGTTTGTATGCAAACGTACAAATCTGAAAATTGCTTGGTACCTTAGGACCACAAGGTGCCAGTACTTCATTCTCCTACCATTGCAATAGAATGCTTCAAGCATGAATACCATGCAGTATTATGGGGCAGCGTGCATCATAGCACAAAGTAGAAGAGGCTGATGGAATATCATGCATTGCACAAATTCAAGCACTGCATGCACTTTCAGGTGGTACAATTCACCTCTTGGAATCTCAGAAGTTCCAGCACGTTTTTTGTGCCAACTTTAAGTTGCTCCATATTCATGTCTTCAGGCATCTTCTTAATAGCACCTTCACTTGCCAAATCTGGTATGCACCTATTGAGGACTGTAAAGCATTCTTTTCACCTTGAGCCTCTCATTTTATCTATGCCAAGCCAGAATTAAAAAGGAATTACTTCAATATGATTTTCAGCATTCAAAGATGCCCGGCTCACATCTAACTGTAAGAGATAACTGATTCAAAGCAAAGATCATCTGTAATCACTTGCAGGATGATGCATTATATGCAATATTGTAGAGGTACTCAGAAGAAGGTGAAGTTGAAAGTATTTACAAACTACATGCAGCATATTCATTGCTTCAAGAGAATCCTACTGAAGTCAACTAGGGCATCAAAGCAGTGGACTTACCTGATTCACTCTTAAGATAATATCGGGCACAATGTCCCTCATTGATCAAATTTTCCAAATCTGTAGAGACATTCACGTCAGTTTCTTCATCACAAATTAGATCTTTTCTATCAAATGACTCATTCTTGACAGGAAGACCCGCAAAGAAGGTTTTATCTGGACATTTTTCCACACAAACCTGCAACATAGGTAAGTCATCATCACAGGAAGGATTTTATCTTTCATTGCCCTAAGAAAAAGTTATATATATTACAGTTTCGGCAATTTTTTTTTCCCTCAGCAACATAACAAGCCCATGGTTGAAACTGATTAAAATCCACTATCTTTCACTAAAAACTAATTTATACATTGACCTGAAAGTAAAAATCACCTATGATCTATTCATTCAGCTTTTCTTTAGATGTATATACAATTTCAACATGCACTTTTCCTGCTAATTTTAGCTCCTAATGCAAACTAAAAAATTAACCAAGTCAAGGATTGAGTATATTAGAGAAAAAATAGTATGGTCATATTCACATGAGAGGAGATTAAAAACTGTTCCCCCAATCATTTCAACACTGTCCCAAGTAACCTCTAACAGCTTCATGAGGCAATACCTGAGTGCCACCCTCTCACAAACCTGTGAGTCTTTAGTACATGAATCAGAAAAAGAGAGAGAGAAAAAAAAACTACATTTGACTAGTTGAAAAGAGAGAAAAAAGTTGGCATATTAAGAGATAAGGTTTAGAGCACTCACCTGAGGTGTCTTGCACCCAGAAATCAAAACGTCAGGATGAAAACACTTGGTCAAGTCAAAGAAGACGAGATACGACTTGTTCTCCAAGCCATGATCATAACCACATTTCTGGCCTTTTGAATTTGTGGGGTGAATGAGACGAGACGGATCCCCAAAGATGACAGCTATACAAAACAATCAACTACAGTTCAGAAAAGGACCTCAGTGCAATATTACTCTTGCTTTTCAAGGCCTAATTGGTGGATCTGGTTGCCTAACATACCATATACTCCAATGCTGATCCATCCAAGCATGAATACTGTGAAGATAATCAAGCAGATCACATCTGTACAAGACCTATTCTTGGAAGGCCCATGAACAGTGGATGAATCTAAAGAGAAATGGGAGAGTGTGATTTCAATAAATGCAAGCGTTATATTTGCCCCCTGATCATGCTTTTCCTACTTTATTCCAAGAGAAGTCCACAATTTTTAAATTCCATGCTATTGCCTGAAATTTTCTACATGCAGGAGTCATAAGGCCTTACACCCATATTGAAAATTCCAGGAAGCAACAGAACAACAGTTCAAGATGACTCTGTCATTTATTAACTACATGGTACCTAGTAGAAAACCAAAGGATTGCAATTAGCACACTTTTAACAACAAAATGATGTTTTCTATCAACAAGTATACATCTATATTTATGCTGCTTGATTGCGATTTGTTGTTTTCATAAGTAAATGTAAATAATAAAATGTATGTTTCTATTTCAGATTGGATTCATTAATATCCATGGCTCCATCATGGGTAAATCCTTTATGAATAATCTTGAATAAATTCTTAATAAAAAATAAATCCTTTGGTTTTCTATTGGGCACCCTGTAGATAGCTAAATAGAACCAACCTGTCACCTATTCAATCTTCCACAGAGAATGCAAAGAATTGTAACTTACTCGTATAATATAAAAAACTCAAATGCACATGGTATAAAGATCATTTCTCATCACCATAAATATCTTTCATTTTGGATTAAGGCTTTCATCATTTCCAATGAAGCTTCAAAAAGACAACAATAAAGGCCAGCATGTGAGTGTTCAGTAATTTAGCACTAACTTTGAACAAGTCATACCCCATGATGAAATCCTGATCATGTTTAATGAGCTCCATTCTGTGACACATGAACATTTAAAAAGTTTCATGGAACATATTGAATGGACACAATGGGTATGATGGTGCTCATACCCTGCTATTACTTTTCTTAATACTCATCTCATTAAAAGGAATACATTTTAATCTTAATTGGATTGGAAGTCTTTCCTATTAATCTACAGTTAGAGACTCATTACACCTTGTAGTTAAAGTACAGTAATGTCAAAGATGAGCTCCATCAGAGTTCATATTAAAATCACATGATTCCAAGGTTAATTTTCTATTTAGTTTCATCAAAACTTCTTGATAATAAAAAAAAGCCATGGTCATACAAGTGGTCATATTGTTTTGTTTATGCAACCTCATAAAAAAAAGGGATAGGTGGAAACCCATAACTGTAACAGGCATAGGATCATCATGTGAAATGAATTTTGGTAGATAGACATAAATAGGCACCTTGTAAGAACTCTGTCCTGGATTCCTTCATAGGCCAACAAATATGAAAAAAAAACCATGGGGGAAAAATTGTACAAAAAGAACCACATGCTATCAATAGAAAGGAAGAATTGGGGAAATCAAGACACACCCTTTATCAGTTGATTTCAACACATTTTCACTTGACACCAATATTCATGCATAGGAAGTGCCACTGACATGTCTTAGAGTCATCTGAGACTTTGTGAGAATCAGTTTAAAAAAAACCTGCAGATCTGCAGAGCTATTTGCAACCCCGTTTCATCATTTGGTAGGTATCAAATAAGCTTCTCAAATGAAAGAGATATCAATGCACCTAACATATCAAGCCTGAAGCCCATTTTCTTAGCCTACTGCATTCTCTATAGAAGCTCAAAAAACTCTCTTGGAAATTTGACAATTGAATAGCCAACTGGATTTACGGCCACTCACCTCCATGTAAAGAACTGTCACTGACATTGTTCCGACCCATCACTGATGCATAGAGGTATGACCAAAGTCAATAAGTGCAATGATGGCAACTTGAATGATCTTGAATAATCTTCAATAGCTGACAGCCAACAATGGTATTGAGGCTAATCCAATTGCACTAATTGCCTTTCAGAAGAACATAGGGCATGGGGGGTTCTACAGGGGTAAAGATTCAGATTTTGCTGAATCATCTGCAACAGAATGAAAGTTCAGTGGCAGCAAGGGCTTGAAAGCTGTTACATTAGTTGCTTCAGGTAGTTCAAATTTCAATTTCTGATTTACCAAGAGCACTGCTGCAAAAGGATCATAATAAGTGAAATCAGTCATGACCCAAGATATAACTCAACATCCAAGGTTCAAGGCTTTGATATGGATGGCAGAAAGTATATTTGCCTGTGTATGTATGGGGTGGTCCACAATTGCCTCTCCAAAACTAAAAGCTCATTACTCTGGAAGTATACATCCAATTTCATTGATATATGACTTAAAAGATAAACAATTCAAGACATTTATACTCTGGAAAATCTCAGATTTGTATTAAAAAAACTAGAACAAAGTTATACCCAAATTAACAAAAGTACCCATACCGTGCAACTAAAGCCTACCAATAACACCGTCCCTTCTGAAGTTTGCAATTCCATCTTGAGTTTCGCAATTCATTTGTGGGTTTTTCGTGCAATGCGAGGGATTGTCTGCATCATGGTTGACCTCAGTATCCTGCAGAAGATGAATGTCGTTTGATTTGATAATTTGGAGAGCACAATTTTGGTGCAGGGGAAATTTGAAAATTTATTCAGTTTGAGTAAAAATGCCTCAATTCCAGATGAGAAGATCATGAAGACAATTTGTAGGAGATTTCTGAACCTGAGGAGGTTCATCGGTGGACCTATGCCTACCTAGATATGCCTTCGCCTCAGTAGGACCAGAGATGATTGAAAGAAGTCTGCTGGCATTCAAAGAGAGACTGCATCAAGTCATTGAAAATTGTGGATGCCATATTGAACAGTTGCAATTTGGGGGTTTTCATTTGTAAGCATGTAACTTTGCTTAAGTTTGATACCCAATGGTTAAATTTTCCACAATAAAAATATGTTGAATTGGCTATCATGTGAGTCACATATCATTGAAATCGGATGCATACTTCCTAAGTAATAGGCTTTTACTTTTGGGGAGACAATTGTGGACCACCCTGTACATTAAGACAAGGCAGTCAGAATGGACAAAAATAGTTTTAGGGCATTCTCAAACCTAAAACCTTAAGTTATGACTTTGGACACAAGTAAATATACATAGTATGAGGGATTTGTTCAGTTTGCTGCAGGATTACATTTTTACTATCATTCCAAAGAGCAAGGGAAATATATATTATTTTCATGCCAACAAAGCACTCATGAAAGGAATCCTTGGTTCCTTTAATGATTATGGCTTGGATTATGAATGAAAACCTACTCAAAGGCATTTTACAAGTCTTGTACATCTGGCTGTTGGATTTCACATTAGGAAGATGAACAACAACAAAAATCCTCAGGCTAGGGATGGGTTACTTACCAGTCAATTAAAAACATGTCAATTGACTGGTCAAGACAGTAAACTAAGGTCTATTATGGTTGATATGTCTAGGGGTACCATATGATTAGTTTTTCCCAGACATGTCCTCTTTCTTAGCTTTTCATCCAGGAAGAAGGTGTCCCTGTGATTTACAATACATCCAGATATTTTCCCAGGACATGTTTGCCTTTTTCACCTTCAAATTTTTGTCAGACTTCTAAGTGTCCTATTTTTGGCTGTCTGAAATATAGTAACACTAAATATGACCAACTTTTACTTTTGCTTTTCCCTGCAAAGTTTGTGCTCCATTTGTATGTCATGACTCACAAGTGACAGACTAGGCATGGGAAGTTGATTGGTCAAGATGTTCACTTTTCAGAATTTGCATACTGAAGTTGCTTTATAGCCAATTCCCTATATCTTGAAAACTTTTATACTGATCCCTTGTGGCTTCATCTCACATCACAGATGGTTTTTTAAGCCTTCACCTTAGCTACCTAGTGACCAAGGTGTAGGCTTAAAAATTTCCCAGTGGAGGAATGATAACCATGCAGTTATTGAAACCCACACCTCGGTCTCACCAGGTCAAGTAGCCAATTGAAATAAAGTTAAAGTCAAGGCCACCCATTCAGTTCTATGTCCAAGCAGAGCACCACTAAGATGTCCCACTCTAAACATAGGCTAACATTGTCCAGAAAATTCAGTTGCCTTGCTCAAGGAAATTCTAGAGTTAGATTAATATTTTTTAGGCATTTGCCTAGGCATAATCCAAGTACTTGCCCCTTGATCACACACTCTGAGAATAATTAGATGCTCTGATACAGATTATTGGCTAAGACCATGAAAGACCTTGCATTACACTTCAGTTCTAAAGCTATAACTTAGACCTTGAACCTCAACTCTTTATCATCAAGTCATTAAGGATATAAGACCTTGAACAGCAGGCTCTGCTTGCACACTCACACTTCATCACTCAGGTGAGAGATCATGGTAGTTTGAGCATTTGCTATATTTTCATACCGAACAGATGCCACAGTCCAGATGCTTGACAGGCTGCATGAATATAACTATAAAATGGAACTGGCTCTTTGGTTTTAGGCAAGAGGATGAATGACCAGTTATGTGTTCTATAAGTATTTCTTAATTCACTGAATAAAAAAAAAAGAGCAGTCAATAACAGTCAATTTAAAGGTACTCAATTGAATGGTCAATTCCCCATCCCTACCTATGGCTGAATAGAAATAATCAAATTCACTGATAAAGAACATGAAAATGACATGGACGTAGAAATTCCAAAAATAAGAACTGGAGTAAGACTCAGAAATAGAGCTAATATAAATCACTCTGTACAGATCTCTACACCTAATAAAATACATAAGGATGCAAGGAGTATGCCAAAAAATCAATGACTTTTAGCCCAAAAAATAAGCTCCTATTGCTGATATTTTCATAAAACTTGCACTGTGAATAGACTATTGTACTTATATGAGGCCTGTGAAATTTCATTAAAATTCAACATGCTAAGGTTATGAACATTTTTTCTCAAAAAGAAATTGGATATTGATATTGAAAATGAACAGGAGCTCATGCTTTATGTTAAAGGAGGTTAAATGAAGTTTTAATGGGGAATTGGAAACATAACCGTCTAAGTGTAAGTTTAAGAAATATGTCCTCAGTCTGAACAAGGCATAGATTTTGCAAATATGGATCTCTTTTTTTTCATACCCTGTATAGAGCACTCGATAACAAACTTCGGACTAATGGTGTTCCAAGGCATGAAAACAAGGGTATCTAGGATCTAATATTACAAAGAACATCATCCTGAACAAGTTGGATTATGATGCTACAAAAATGACATAATTGAACATGCATAACTGAATTATTGGTAGGGACAATAGCTCCATTTGGCTCAGTCTAGAGCAGCTTGCGAAGAACATGGAAAATATCAATCATGGCATTCCTCCAGAGACATTTTGCACAGCTATCACAAAAGTATGACAAAGTGTCTATGATGGAATCTATCTTGGAGTAACAGTGGAATGGCACTTTTTTTTGAGTGAATTGTTGTCCTACTAAATGGCACATTTTTATTAGATGGTAGGAGGCAGTGACATATCTTCTGACACAAAGGAGATTCCAGGGCTCCATATTCATTGATGAGGTATTCACCAGCATTTCAAGGTTTCCTTGCACTCAAACCCTCTCCTCAGGTAGCAGATAACTTGGAATCAAAGTAGAGTTATCTGCTACCTGAGGAGAGGTAGCAGATAACTTGGAATCAAAGTAGAGTTATCATAGAATCTGTCTGGAAATTCAAATTGAAATTCAATCAATGTTGATTGAACTTGCTACCTGACACTTTGCTAATTCAGCTTGTGTAATAAATGCAATCTCATCTGTTTTCCATTGTTGCTTTAAAATGAGCACTTGATAATCCTTAGTGAGCTTATTGATTCTTAGCCATTTGTTATTGCCAATGACTTGTGATTCATCAACACTGATATGCAATAGGTGATTACATAACGTACATTAAATGGGCAGGTGACTTTTTGCTCTATGAAAAGCATGACAGGACAAGAAAACTACAGCCACATTGACAACCTTTAAGTGAATATTGGCAGCCAACTTTTTTTTCATCCTGTACATCAGTGTGGTTTGGCTTCCTTTGCTTTTGACATGATTCAGTCTTGTGATATGGTGCTATTATGATGCATGGCTAATATTATGTATAGTTCAATCCTAGGTGGTTTTTTTTAGGTGACTTTCAGAGAAGTGGCCATTACCAAAGCACTGGCACCACATGAGCAAAGCATTCAACAGTGTAGGTTCCTGACTGGCAGTGATACTACCAGCCTCATATTGTGTCAGCAAATTTCTTCCTGGATGAAATGCAGCTTCTGTTCACACCAGTTTTTATGAAAAATCCTAGGCTATTCTGAACCTATACATCAATTTTTATGAAAACCAATTGACTACTTTTTCTTAACTTACTGGCTGGTGCATGCTCACACATGCCTATATGCATGCACAGATACACTCATGCACCCATGCATGTGCACATGACAAGAGCAAGCCTCCACCTCTTAGAATACAAATCTAAGAGGTCAAGGTTTTTCAGTCATCATGATTCACTTTCTTCATCAAAATTATATTTTGTAGGCAAGAGGATTTGAATGCATCCATTCTATTTAAATCCAAAACACATTTTCAGTTAAGAAAGTAAAACTTGCAAATATTTAATTTTTTTAGTCCAACTCCAGTATATTTCCCATGGGAGTATTGAAACTACTTAACAGGCACAACTTTGAAGAAGTCCAGGGACTATTGGACTCAGAGAAGAGCAATTATAGACAACTCTGTACATGGCAGAGAAGTTTCTCTAAGGTGAGACATATTTCTTTGGCTTAGTGTAATTTCCTTTTTTTAAATTTAAATTATGGGTAAAAAATTTGCATTTATTGTACCTTATTATTGTAATTGCACCTCACCCTTTCATAAGCTTTGAAACAAGTTCTTTTAATAGATCCATTTTCCCTGAACATGGGCATAGAGAGACTGATTGCAAGGGGGGAGGTCGATGACGAAAGCAAAAAAGCGAAGACGGAAAGCATGAAATAGGTGTCAGAGTAGGCCTATCTGAAAACGTGTCAGATTCAGGTAAA